TGCGAGAATAGCTCGGGTAGGTAAGTTCCGTCCCCCGAAACATCAACCATTTGTTCGGACACTGTTGTGAACCTTGCGCTTCATGCACTCTACTACTAATAAGACCTCGTTTCGCCTCCACACTTTTTGCGCCTTCGTTCAGTAGCCCTCAGATACAGTTTGTTTCAACCCACTATAGGCCAAAACGCGACTTATCGCAATTACAACATACCATATCGCGTTACGAATCCTGCCTGCGTCTCTTTAATCTACACATCTCCTGGCTGGTAAATTCCCACTGCAGTGCGTTTTACTTATACTTTGAGATCTATCGAGATTTGACCAGCGGTCTCAGTAGAAGTAAAAAAATGAGAAGTTCAAAAAGTTTCGAATTTTACTCCATAATTGAAAATCAGGAAACTGTTTCAGGTAATCACTCGTCTTGATGATAGCGTTAGAGATTCATTAGAAAACATACCTCATGAGCGAGATTCTCTACTCGAAGGCGCCAGCCAAGATATGACCAGTCAGGATACACGAGCAATGTTGAGCGGAGACACCGTAAGCGCATTTCTAAATCCTTCTCCTAAAACAACTTCATATATGAAAAGCAAAGAAATCAAGCATGACTATCTTAGGTGGAAACCTACCAAGAACATGACGATGACGATAAGGATTCGCTTGGTGGTGAAATGGACACGATGCTCCGAGATTATCCGACCACATTGACAACTTTTGAAACCACAGCTATCGCACCAGATGGAACTGTGCAGACAATCTCGCGCAGAGTTGAAACACGGGTGAGCTTGTGACCAAATTCTTTCGATCGATAAGAGCTTCTCAGCGTGGTAACGCCGACGCGTTCTTCAGTTTTCGCATAAGTCACGTAGACACTCCTGGAGTTGAGCTTCGCTGTCACTGTGAATCAAAGGTTCTGATATTTCTTGGTAATGCTTTCAGGACTATGAGCGTGATGTCAGAAAGCTGACATCTTTTTGAAAAGCAAGACCCAAGTCTTTTGATGTCTTTTTTTGATACCGATCGCGCAGAAACAAAGATAGGTGCCAGGTTTCCGGTTCGACCGGTTCATCCGGTTCACCCAATTCGCCATCTGTCAAACTGCTACAGGCGATGTCAATGACGAGCTCATATGTCCGTAGCTA